TTATATTCTTTAGAAATTACAATAATCCACATTACAATGAGATTTTTTTTTTTTTTAGAAAATTAATTTGAAAAAAGTGTAATTAATTGTAATGAAAGATGATCTTTCAAAAAAATTAAATCTGAACAGTCCTTAAAAAGGTTTTATTTTCATAAATGTAATTTGTAATTCTTTTATTGGGGTGAAATATGACCCGGACATTTGTTCGTGAGATTCTCCCTTTGTACTGTTTTACCCGTTATAGCAAAAGGAGTGGAAATGAGGTAAGCAAATCATATTTATACAAAGACCCTGTATCTCTGAGCCCCTGGGGGTGTTTCTGAAACACACACACACTCACACACATTTCTTCCTGCCTGTCTCTACCACACATCAGCATGTGCAAATTGAATCTCAGCTTCTGAATGAGAAAATTGATCTCTGTAGGAATCTTGGCCCCTGGGTTGATGATCTCCTATTTATAAATGGAAATGGGTCAGCCCTAGTCTGCGAACGGTTAAACCGACGGGCACAACTCTCTCTGGGGATCCCGCTGATCTGAGCTCAGTTTAACATTAATCAGAACACTGAGAGCTTGCTGTGTGTCCACAGGGTTCCCCTGTCATGAGATCAATGTCAGCTGCATTCAGTATAGTGAACCATCACGGCTCCACCGGAGTGAGCTGATCTGGGGTCAGTGTTAGTAGCCGTTGTCACAGAGGATGTACTGTATCTGTATATGAATGGGCTGCAACCAGACCAGCCTTTTTTCTCTCTGGCCCACATTCATTTTCTCGTCTGAAGACCATTAAGGATGTTCAGGGGTCATATGGCAGACTTCACAATGTTTCCAGACACACAACTCGCGCCTTTTACCACAGTCACTCCCCTGCCTCCAGATATTGCAGTTTCCTTCAAAAAACTGTTTACAGTTTGTATTCATCTCGGCGTGAGATAGTGTTGCGTTGGGATTTTTGCATGGGCCGCTAACATCTAACCTAGAGGAAACTACTCCTGGTAGGAGCACAGCTGGACACATTTTTGCACACATTCTTGTTTTGTTTTTTTGTTCTCTTTCTCTCTTCTTTTTTTCTTTCCTCCCTTGCTCTTGTTTGAAATGTGATTTTGTTAACTTGTTGGCGATGGGATTTGAGCAGCCCTTAAGTCCTTAATGAGATTGTCCTGACGCTATTTTCTTCATTTGGGTGCTTTTGATTATGGTGTAAATGGGTTTTTCTGCTCTATTTCTCGGAATACAGTTTGAGCTGTTTGAGCAGTGTTATTAGCCGTGTATCCAATATTTCTCGTCTATCATCACAATGACTCTTCTTCTTTTTGAATGATGGTCATTGTGGCCTTGAATGATTAGGAAAGATTACTCGATGCCTATGGTGAACCATTGAGATTTTGTGTGTGCATGCGGTTGAACTTTAGATTTCCAGTAACGGATCACATTCAACCTCCGTGATTTAGTGGAACACTTAAGTGTGTGGTGTGTTGGGGTACAAAGATATAATTGCCAATCACTGATATTGGTCAAAACAGCTCAGTCTCTCCTGATGGTTTAAAAACAGTCTGTGGTTAGAGCAGATTATATCCTGTTAGTTAAAAATAGCATGTCATCCCATAATGTGGTGTACTTTTGCAGTGAACAAAATTTTTTTGGTGTGCAATGACTTTTTTTCAAAATTGCAATTTGCAAGTTTGTGATTTGGGTAGAAGGGATTAAAGAGTCTTTGTGTATCAGAGGTTTCAGTATCATAAATGTGTTAACTGTGAGGTTATGTTAGATGTTTGTTTTGGGGAGTGATCCATCATAAATTATCTCAGCAGTATAGTCCCTATATGAATTATTCATTTGGACCAAGAAAAGGATTTGTTCCACCACAAATGCTCACTCATACCCATCTGTTATGTTCAAAAACAAGACTTAAGTGTTTTTCCTGGACATAAAATTTCATAACACGCAACTCCATATTCCATTAAGTAATGTCCTTAATATCAAAAGCCCATCCTAAACATGTCATAATCTTTTCATACCAGTTGAAGCCATCATTTTCTGTTTTTGTGTATGTCTGTGTGAAAGATGTTACATATTTTATGTTCATAGGAGGTGATATAACACTGAAGTTGAGTTTTCTCTCTGTAGTCTGTGGAGCAGTCAGATGATGAGCAGGAGGACTCTGTGAAATTCAAGAGGCTTCACAAGCTGGTCAACTCGACTCGACGTGTTCGCAAAAAGCTCATCAAAGTGGATGACAGCAAAAGACATGGCTCACAAGGTAGCTTGAAAAGATTTGTTCTTATGGCATTAACTCCAGGTTTTTTTTTTTAAGCAAATCTCAAAAATCCATTTCTCATGCTGCACATATGTAGCATTTAATTAATTAATTAAATTAATATTAGTTTTTGGTATTTTATATTTAATTAACATTACCATTCAAAAGTTTGTGGGTCAGTAGAAGTTTAAGAAAATAGCATTTTTATTCTTGAAGCATGCATTAAATGGAACATTTCAAATAAATGTTGTTCTTATTAACTTTACCAAAGAATCGCTGTTTCCACAAAACCTGAAAATGGTAATAAACATTATTAGTAAGAATAATAGTAAGAAATGTTTCTTGAGTGCCAAATCAGCATATTAGAATGATTTCTGAAGGATCATATGACATGGGCTGGCATAATGGCTGCTGAAAAATTATACGTTTTTTACTATTAATGTTTTTATTGTATTTTTGATCAAATAAATGCACCCTTAGTGAGCATTGACTTCTTTAAAAAAATATATTTTTTTATATATATATATATATATAGTTTTCTGACATGAAATGTATTTGAATGCCATGTAGACAAAATAGAATAGAATTGTTATATTTGCAATTTATCAGTTATTAGCCAGAACATGAAAATAGTTATCAGCTTAATACTATTGGCCAGAATTTGTATATTGTGCATCTCTAATTTTATCTTTAGTTGATATTAATTTTTATCCATACTTTATTCCACTGCTATTAAATAATTCATGAGACAGTATTGCTTGGAATAGATATAGATATTTCAGTTTATAGAAGTTTTTGTTTTAATCTTTTTTTCTGCAGATTCGCTCAGTCTGGATGCAGCTCCCTTATGTGATGACATAAACGCTCTGTATGCGGAAATCCACAAGAAGCCGGCCCAGTGCACAGACTCTTCTTTGTCCTCTCTTGCCCAAGAGCAGCTCTCTCTGGATGGGGACACGGACAGCCTGACCACCTCGCCCTCCACCAGTAGCCTTGACGCCTGGAAACCTGCTCACAAGTTAGTGAAGACCCCCGGCGCACATCCCCACGGCCTGATCCGCCCTCCGCGGAAGAGTAGTGCTGGATCCGGACTGGGTGTAGTGGGTGGTAGTGGCTCCTCTTTCTCCGAATTGGAGGATCTGGGAGACGACAATGCTAAAGTCTCCCGCTTGGCTACAGATGGAGAGATGCGGAAGGCCTTGTCATCTCTATCACACGGGGTAAGTACTGACAGCGTCTACGCTTTTTACGGCCTCACTAGGCCCCGCCCAAAGCCGCACCCCCTTCTGGTGTCTTTAGAAGACATTAACAACACCAAACGGCCACCGGTCTCCATGTGGCAGCGCAATAAGCCTGACCCAAACTACGCATACTCCACCAAGCACCTGCTCTACCAACGTTCCTGCAACGCTCAGAAAACCATCGTTCCCTCCTCCACCTTGCCTGCTTCCCCTCCCACTCGTGAGCTTCCATTGGCCAGGGAGAAGGGGAAGAGCTGTGGGGGCGGAGTAGTGGGCAGCTGGCTGTTTCCACCAAGGCGTCTGAAAGGAAGGACGGCGGTTAGTGAGCTCAACATCACATACGTGGTGGAACGCAGCCTGTATGGCCACTTGAACTGGACCGGGCTGGTTAGGCCCGTCACACTGAGCAAAGCAGACAGACGTTGGCTCCTGGAAGACGAAAGAGATGCGAACAGGAAGTGGGCATCCAGCATGGATCGCTGCACCAAGCGCGTGCTCTTACGCATCCAGCAGAAGTCTGTGAGTGTGCCGGAAGAGCAGATCTACAGTGCCCCCTGCTGCACTGGAGGAACAGGCTGGTGCAAAGCTGCAGAAGAGAATTGCAGTAGGGTACAATTTAGAGACAAACTGCTTTAGTTATATTTCAAGACCAATTCTGATACTGAAATATGAACTGTGCTGTCATGAAATGCATTTTGTTTCAAAAATCTTCACCCATCTCTGGGGTAATTATTAAAGCTAGAAATCCCTTAGACTGTCAGTTAGCCACCAGTTCTTCTCATTACTGTAGACTCATGTTACTGCAGTATGGAGTCAAAATTTTATAATCTAAGAAAGGTGTAGAAGAGAAATAGAATGTGACAATACCTCAAGTCCTGAGCTTCTCTCCTTTCATTTCTTGACTTATTCTCTTGTAGTCAGTCATGTGTCAGAGCATAATTGAAACTCTCAGTCCTTGAGAGACAGTGGAGAGTGGTAGAAGAAGAAAATAAATATGGAGTTCCTTCTGCAGCTTTGTAGAGTCTGTCGTCTGCGGATCCTCGTCGTCATTCATAGTGAATGTGAACATGACCGTGATCTTCATCAGTGAACTATTTCATCCATTTTGGGTTGGAAATTCCTCTTTCAGCCTAGGCATGAATGCTATTTTTTTTTTGTATGTGCTACTCTTTTTTTTTATTGAGATTTTTTTCTTTTCTTTTAAAGTGCATGATGTTATTCCATGCAATATGCAACAGCGTCTCGTACTACAACATTTGAACTGTATTCTGTTTATTTTGAACCGGATATCTCTTATTCTGCTGCTTTTGTAGAACTTTTCAACAAAATGTCATAAAATGAAAAGCCAGTTTATTTAAATGTAATGCATCGCTTGTATTTGAGCGATGTAAGATGTTGCCTTAAGTCCGTTCACATTTGTTTTTTATTTCTCACTATTTTTTCAGTACCAATTTTCAGTTCATTCATCAAGGTTTTACAAGAAAGCATTGGTTTATTTACATAATGCTAAACAACTGCTGAAAGATTTTATTTTGAGTTAAATAGGAAATCAGGTCATACCATGAACTATTTCTTTTGACAGCTCGTCATTTTAAAATGTGTGGTTTCCATTGTAAAGAGCAGCATGAATCATTGAGACTCTTTGTGAATCGTTTTAAATGACTCTCTCTAAATATATTCATTTGCTCGTAAATTCACAGTAATTATGTCTTTTTTCCACACAGAGAACATGTAGCTTTGGAGGATTTGACCTGTCTAATCGTGCCCTCCATGTGGTCAACACAACCGAGCCTAGTGTGAGTACACATGCGTTCTTTCTCTCGCTTCCTCTTGATTTCAGCTCTCATATGCAGCTGCAGTGTTTGTCATCCAATTGTGTTGATCAGCTGGCTTTCAGTGTGCTTAATCGCTCTCTTTCTCTCTCTCTCTCTCTCTCTCTCTCTCTGGCATAAGGAGCAGGAGGCTCTGTACAGGGACGCTGTGAAATCTCCCACCACGTCTCGTATCTCTCTAGGAAAGAAAGTCAAGTCTGTGAAAGAGACTATGAGGAAACGCATGTCCAAGAAATATGCCGGGTCTCTCTCTGAACAGGTACACACACAGATGCCCATGTGCTTGCTTTGACCGTGCTGAGTTATGTGCTATATAGCAAGCTTGTTCAGAGGTGAGACCCTGCCTTTACTCAAGAGGGAAGTAGCACATGTGTGCCCCACTTTCTGTGTTTCAAACTAGGGTCAAACATCTCTTAATGTAGCCTAGAGCTTGGATACAAGTGGCCATACTCCCTGGCAGTGTTGAATACACACTCAGTGCCTGTATTCACATGCTGTTGAAAATGTATTTGTCTTTTAAATGCTGCCTCTGTAAGCAGCTCACTAGGTTTTAGTTACAACTGAGGCAAGAGTTTACATCTATATGACATCATCTCTTTTAGCATGTTTAATGTAGATCTCTGGATATGTGTGTGTGTTAGTCAGTGTTGAGCTCATCTGTGCAAAGAGAACTTTGTGCCAACACCATGTCTCGCTCCCTGTAATCATATTATGTTGGAGTGCACCACCTAGTGGCAGCTTAGTGTAATTACTTTGCTAAACTAGAGGATTAATCTCACAGCAGTGCTGCAATCAGCTGTTCTTTTTGTGGGTTTTATATTCTATGCATCACCTGCTGTCCATATTATTACTTTTTTCATTTATAAATAATAATATACTTTCAATTCTCTCATTTTTTTCTTTGTATAGTCCAGTCCAGATGGAACGCCCAGTTGTCCTCAGTCTCCTCAGCCAGACACAGACTCTCTAGAGAAGCCCAAACTCAAGGCAGGAGGGTCGGTAGAGAGTCTGCGCAGCTCCCTCAGTGGGCAGAGCTCCATGAGTAAGTGTTTGTGGTGTGTGTGTGTGTGTGCTTGTTTGTGTGCAAGCAGCACTATTGCTCATATTAGTCTTATCTTAACACTGTGTTAAAGCCAGCATGAAATGGAAATTCACAATATATGCATGTTATTGATCTTATTTTGAACAATTCAGCAATGTATGTGTTTCTTTTTTTTAAATTAGTTTTAGCCTTGAAATTTTTAATCAAAATATAAATAAGTCATCCATTGGAAACTATAGACTACTGTATGGTGACTTCTCTAATCATTTAGTGCATAAAACCCTCTTTCTTTCAATCGACTGCAAGTTTGCATTCAGATCTGCCTCCATTCCATCCAATCAATAGGCGATGAATAGATGAATCCCTGTCCCACTTTTTTTTTTCTTTTTTTTTTCATTGATCTATTTCACTCTGTTATATATTTCACTATGTATGAAAAGATCTGTCACTACTTCGGTTTCATTGAAACATTGAATGTTTGTGCTACGGACATTAATTGTGCCTTAAGTTATGTAGATTTTTTTTTCTGGCAGTCTGATTAATGACTTTTGCCTGGTGAAAGAATCCAGTGCTTTTGTAATGATTGTGTTGGTCCTCTCACAGGTGGACAGACAGTGAGCACCACAGACTCATCGGCCAGCAACAGAGAGAGTGTGAGGAGTGAGGATGGTGATGATGAAGAGCCTCCGTACAGAGGCCCTTTCTGCGGCAGAGCTAGAGTTCACACTGACTTCACACCGAGTCCATATGATACAGACTCACTCAAACTTAAGGTACTGAACACATACAGGAAATTAATCCAACTTAAAATAGTTTTGTGTTTAATACTACTTTAAATTAAAGGTTTTTCGAATTTTCGAATCCATTCAGCCGATCTCCGGGTCTGGCGGTAGCACTTTTAGCTGTAGCTTAGCATAGATCATTGAATCTGATTAGACCGTTAACATCTTCTAAAATTTTCTAGGCCGATATGGCTAGGAACTATACTCTCATTCCGGCGTAATAATCAAGGAACTTTGCTGCCGTACCATGGGTGCAGCAGGTGCTATGATATTACGCAGCGCCGTCAGTTTTAGTACACGATGTAACTACAGAAGAGTCAAGTTTTAAATAGGAAAAATATCGAAACTCTTTGGTCATTTTTGAGCGAGATGCTAACAGTCTAATCAGATTCAATGATCTATGCTAAGATACAGCTAAAAGTGCTACCGTCAGACCCGGAGATCGATCTATGCTAAGCTTAAGCTAAAAGTGCTACCGCCAGACCCGGAGATTGACTGAATGGATTTGAAAACGGTAAAACTCAACTGTTTAACTCTAGGGGAGTTGGAAAATGAGCCTATTTTCAAAAATAGTGGAGTGTTCCTTTAAATTTTAGACCTTTACAACCCACTGTGATTAAACATGAAGGGGTCCAACTTATTACATGGCTACTTAGCAAATAAATAAATATTAATTTGAGTAAAAACCATTTTAATTAGGTGGAAAGGATAATATGAGATATTAAAACTAGCATGGCAATTTATAATTCAGTTAACATTTGAAAATATGTTTTAGATTAGTTTCTGGGTGTTTTCTTTTTTATTTAATAACAACTTTGAATCTCACTAAATTTCTCTCTCTCTTTGTAGGGAGGAGATGTGATTGATATCATCAGTAAGCCGCCCATGGGCACATGGATGGGTCTGCTCAATAACAAGGTGGGCACATTTAAGTTCATCTATGTGGATGTGCTGACTGAAGAAGAGGAGAAGCCTAAACGAGCGGTTCGGAGGAGGAGGAAGGGCAGGCCGCCCAAACCCAACTCAGTCGAGGAACTTCTGGAGAGAATCAACCTGAAGGTGAGACAGGGACCACACACAGCCATTTTTGAGATATGTACATGCTTTGAAATTTCATTGGTTTATCTATAATCATCCAGCATAAATCTGAGTGTGTGGCTCATCTTTAATCTTTACTGACAGAATGTAAGAACAGGGTGGGGAGAGATGAGAAAATGAACAAGTGGATGCTGGTGTGAAAAGATGGTCAGCTCTTGTTAAAGCAGATTAACTATGAGAAAGTGGGACGAGGTCATTTCCCCATGCCAGTTAAAAGTTTTATTTAAAGACAGAGACATACACACCCTTCAGACCTCCCACGAGCTCATGCATTATTACATCTCTAAATAACATCACATTACAGACCTTACGCTTCACACAATAGACACCAAGGACGCATTTTAAGCCTCATTGTGTTGTTTTAGTGTGTTAATGGACTATAATGATAGCTGGCCGTCACAAAAGAGTTTGAAGTCTGGAAACATTCCCACACATAAATCCCACCATAGATGAACTTCCAGGGTGGAGTGGGTATTTTTAGCTACATAGTGCTTCTGCTCTACTGGGTGTGGAATCTGTGAATGTATGTGTATGTGTTTTAGGAGCACATGCCTACATTCCTGTTTAACGGGTATGAGGACCTGGACACATTTAAGCTACTAGAGGAAGAAGATCTGGATGAGCTCAACATCAAAGATCCTCAACACCGTGCCGTACTGATGACCGCTGTAGAACTACTGCAGGATTACGACAGTAAGTACACACATATGTTAAATACACTATGTACTAAATGTGTCTTTATACATTTATCACATGTTTATAACATTTCCTAACTTTGTGTGTGTGTGTTTTCTAGGCAGCAGTGATCCGGAGCGCAGCGCCCTCTCTGGCTCTCAGGAGAAACTCCTCTGTGAGGGGCGTGGCCTCATGGCCGACTCCCCACGGGACTCTGGTTGCTACGAAAGCAATGAAAACCTAGAGAATGGTAACCAGGCGCTTGTTTAGCATCTCCATACCAACCGCATCACCATGTCCAGCCTAGTGTAGCAACGCCATGACACCATCCTCTCACCTCTGGGCCACGCCTCTCTCTCTGCCATGACTCAGTGTCCTAACAGCCAATGAGAACTTGTCATCACATCTGGATTTAACCCAGGCCTGTCTGTCTGTCACATCTGTTGTGCCCTGTTCTCTATCTGCTTCTCTGCTTCTAGAGACGCTCTGTCATCATTACTTTAACTCTCTTCCAGCCTCCCCAGACTCCTGCTCCTGCTTTCTTCCATTCTGTTAGAAATCGAAAATCCAAAAACCGCAGCAAGTCTTGCTAACTGATCAGATTAGAATCCATCCGCTGCCTCAGAAAAATCTAAAGAGAGACAGACAGAATCTCAGAGAAACAAATACAAGGCTTGTGCTCACAGCAGGACTTAAACAGGACGATTTTGAGAATGTTCTCCAGGCAAAACCAACGCAGATTCATTTCAGACTCAATTTAAAGTCTCTCCTCCTCTCTCCTTTTGCCATTTCAAGAAATATCACTCCATATTTGTGTGGCGTTTGTTGTGGTCATATTGCACAAGTTCTTATGTGCCTAAAAAAGAAAAGACTTTATAAATACAAAATGTAGTGGATGAATCGCATACATTTGGAAGGTGATATTTTACGTAGATTGTGTAAAAGTAGGAGCTACTGTTTTTAAAGGATTTTATCCAAGAGAAAGCATCGTATCTCATTCTATATTTCCAAAGAAATTGAGTGTTTAAGGTTTTCACTCTTCTGTTGTCTTCTTAACCTCCTACTGGCATCTTATAACACTGACTGATCCCTCCTCCTGTTGTGTATGTCAGTGTATGAGTCTCTGTGTGTGTGTGTGTGTGTGTGTGTGTGTGTGGCGTATGATTGTTTAGGATGGATCAGAAATATGTACAATCTGCCAAATTGGAAAATAAATCCATTCTGTGATCTCTAGCATTTTGATCTGCTTGCTTTTTTCATCTGTTTTCGTCTCTTGATATTATTTTATCTGTGCCGATTACATTTCCACTCATTTCTTGTAAGAGGAGCGGTACAGAGCTTATTATATTCACTATTAAAGCATGCACTGCTTTGTCACCATTAGAGTTTGAGTCATTGATTCTGTTAAAGTACAGTGGGTACGGAAAGTATTCAGACCCCCTTAAATTTTTCACTCTTTGTTATATTGCAGCCATTTGCTAAAGGGTGCTTCTACTAAATACTGAGTAAAGGGTCTGAATACTTAGGACCATTTGATATTTCAGTTTTTCTTTTTTAATAAATCTGCAAAAATGTCAACAATTCTGTGTTTTTCTGTCAATATGGGGTGCTGTGTGTACATTAATGAGGAAAAAAAATTAACTTAAATGATTTTAGCAAATGGCTGCAATATAACATAGAGTGAAAAATTTAAGGGGGTCTGAATACTTTCCGTACCCACTGTATATCTGATGGCCCAGGAATAATACTTTAAATGCATCCTTGAATGCTTCTTTCTTTCATTTCCAGATCCTTGCATCATTTCTCAACCATGTCATTGTCATTTATGATCTTCATTTATCTTAAGGTTCCTGCATATAAATACTCATTTATCATTTTATTTATTAACTGTTTTTATAATATTAAAAGCATTGTGCCTCTGTTAATCTTAAATAGTTTGACTGTTACTAACTCTATGCTCAGCATATTAAGTATATTTGATGTGGAAAATTGGCAGAAAATGATGCTTTCTAAATAAATATAATCTGGACTTGTGGTTTTCTTCACTTAATGTCTTAACACTCACACTTAACACTCACCCAACCAACTAACCCTTAAGTAATCCCTAAAAATTCACTACAACTAATGAACATATCTTTAACTGAAATATGTAATGAACTGTGCCTCTGGGTACCTGCTAAACAATGTAACCATTAACCCGTTCAGCAACATGCTTTTTCATACCTTTAGTTACGTTACAGATACTCATTCTGTTTTGCATGGTAAAAAAGATAATGAAAATGGCATCTTTTACTCACCTTCATGTTGTTCCAGATCTGTATGACTAACTAACTGCAGACTGAGCCATTGCACAGTTTTGGAACAACATGTCAAGTCATTTTAACCAACATTAACTCAGGCTGATAATACTTGCCTAAAACAATGCTAAATTATCTGGGATAAAAATGTGCAATGTAGTAGTACCCTCAAATGTACACTTTTGTTCCTTTTGTAACCCTGAAGGGTGTATTTTAGTACATAAAGTTACTGATGCTCTATATACCCTTAAGGTAGTAATATCCACCCTTTAGGGGTAGATAAAACACCTTTGAGGATACTGCCTTGGTGACAAGCTGTTGTACACCTAAAGGTGCAAATGTTTTTGCAATTTATTTTCTGACAGCTTTCATCACATTCGTTCAGATTGTAGTACATATATTTCAACTCTTACACTTACACGATGCATGAATCACACCAATAATGGTGCATATCATGCATGCATGCATGCATCAGTAATAAAGTTGAAGAGCTGCACTCTCACGTGTGAAACCAAATTGCTGCAGTACTAGATCTTACTGATCATCAATTTCACGACATCAGAGTTATTCTTAGGAACCAAACAAAAAACATGGAACCATCTGAAGCCTTTGAGGAAGGAATTATATGTGATTAATAAATTTATGTGAAGGCACGGCTCTCTGTTTCAGGTAAGAGCCGCAAGGCGTCGCGCCACAGCCATGGTTCATCTGGATTTGATTGTAGGGGTGTAAAGTCTCCAGACTATCCCACTCTTCCCATGACTCACTCCACTGAAGCTCTTCAGCAGCAGGCCAAGAAGGAACGCAAGTTCCCGAAGACCTTTCTGCCCCGGCCCATAAAGGGCTTCAGTCTGCGAAGCCTCGGCCTCAAGAAGAGCTCCAAAGCAGGACAGACCTCCCACATACCGGTCAGCCGAAGCTGTGAGGAGTTGGACGGTCCCCAAGAGACCCCCAAGTCCTGGAAGCGCTCACATTCTCTGGGGGATATACATTGGGAGCAGGCCTTCGATCAGAGGAAGGACCAGAGTGGCAGTGAGGATAAAGGTAGGCCAGAGAGCAACAAAAAAGAAGCAAAGGTCGATCCTGTAGAATCAAAATTGGACCAGAGTGGCGATAAGGCTGGAAGAGAGACGGGCTCACTGCAGAGACTTATGGTTCCCACACAGCTTTCTCTCAGCCCGGTCGGTCCATTGCCTGCTGCTCAGACCTCAAACCGCCAACCGGTTTCTGCCCCAACTAGCCCCGCTCCATGGATTCACCCTAAAAAGCCACCTGTCCCACCTCCTGTGCCTGCTAAAAAGTCCAAAGAACGTCTGCCGAATGGTCTGCGCCATCCTTCACTAGTGCTGTCTGGTTCGGTGCCAAATACGCCAACCCTACCCCCAAAACCCATTTACACCCCAACCACTCCCTCCGCGAGTTCCCCGTCAACCCCATTATCACCAGGTGAATCTGCGGCAGCTCTGAATCCACCCTGGCTGTCTGACCTACCTGAATCAGCATGTCCTCAGATCCACAGAGCTAAAGTTGCCCTCAGCAGGAAGATCTCCCATGCCAAAATGACTGACCTGGAGACTCTGCTGGAGGACAGGATGCGCTTGGAAGGCATTGACCTCACCGAAGAGCCGTGCTCTGATAAAGTAAGTCATGATTTCACTTCACTTCTGCTGTTGCCAACCACAATTTTCAGGTAGTAGTAGAGTGCATAGCACTCACAAAATAAACTCCTTTGAGAACTTTTTGGAATCATGAAATGCAAATGTTACACCAAATCTGGCCCTAGAGAGCCACTGCCCTGCAGAGTTTAGCTCAAAGTCTGATCAAGCAAAACTTCCTGTAATTTTCTAGTAACTCTGAAGACCTTGATTAGCTTGCTCAGGTGTTTTTGATTGTGGTTGGAGCTCAACTCTTCAGGGCAGTGAAGAACTTTTTAGGGATTGGAGGAGCCCTTCAGTATAGCCTAATAATGGACTTCATGTTCATGTGACCTCAAGTTTGCATGAATTGCATCATATGGTAAAAATGGCGGCACTATAGTAGTTATAAAAAGGTTAGCAGACTAAACAAAAGCACAATGATTACCAGTAGGGGGCTTGACTCAACCATGCCACTGTCCCTGGAAAGGCATGGGAGTATTTTTTCCTTCCATTTACTGCTGGAAGTTCTTTTGAAAGTGTCAAGAGAAATGGAAAGAAACATACATTTCAATCAGTGCTCATCCAAACACTAATTTCCACTCATCAGTTTCCAAATAAGAAGATGTTCCTATAGTACCTATGCAGTAGGTTTCTGTTGGAGTCTCCGTCTTTTCTTCGGCTATTTTTAATTGCTAAATGCACAAACATAACTTTTGCTGCATATCCTGTATCCTTAAAAAGTCCTTTCAGTCATGGCAAAGTGGAAGGATTGGAGGACTCGCTTGTTGTGTAATTTATAAGCAGAGCATCTTGAGTCTGGTATATCTTCTTGAGTCCTCGGTGTGTAATGTCCACGTTCATCAACAAACCAAATCTGATTCCAAATCACTTCTTTGAGATTATCCAACAAAAAAAAAGGTGAATAAGAGGTGAAAAATGTCCCCTCTTTAATATGAAAACACTGGAACAGTTTGTGGTTTCAGACTGCACAGACTGCCTGGAGTTTTAGTGCTTTTTATTGGCGGCCAATCCTATTATGCCTGGACCCACAGCCTATGGGATGTACCCCAAATTGGGCACAAGAAATAGTTTGAATCTCTTTGAGTAGATTTTGAATTAATCTCTCAGTTAACAAGATGTTTGCAAGTTAAAGCTAATGTGTGCGTGTAATATAAATTAAATACTTTTCCCTCTCGCAGCTTGTTTGCTGTTCATTGTTTGATTTCCCTGAGGAGTGTAAACACTGTGGCTCTGTGGCGCTATCAAAACATTGCTCTGCTTGTGTGAGCTTTGTACTTGGATTGTTGATTTTTTCACAAAGATGGCCGAGTATTGAGCTAACTACAATAAAAAAACTGCTTGGTTTGCAATATTATGAAGCCACATTGCCTGTTTTAGAGAAGATGGCCATTTGGCGTGCAAACAAAGACAGGCTGAAAATGATTAAACTGGATCTTTGTTACGCCACACAGGGTGATGTTAGCGTTAGAGCTCTGAATCTCACACTAAACAAACAATTTAGCCTTACACGCCTTGTAATGCTATAATTGGCACATAAAGTTTGCTTGTTTGTGAGTTAAACTCCGTTTCCAAGTGTGCTTGGTCTCCACCAACCGTAAAATCAATTAAAAAGCCACATGAAATAAACTTTATGATCTGATAATTTCTGTTGTTATTCAGAGTCCACAGTCTGAGGCGAATGCTGCGCCGCTCACATTAGCTGGGCGCTAATCACGGCTTAGCTTGAAACAATACAGCATTAGCAAGGAAAATTCTCCTCATATTTTTAATATTTTGATGACTGAATTTGTGCGTCTCTTAAGGGCCATACAGGGTTGTAAGGTTGTTAGAGATGTTTTCCAATCGCTTAAATGAGGTGGTGAACTTCACTAGATCTTGTTTTCCTGGCTAATCTTTCCTTTTCTCTCTGTGTTTCTCAGCACGGCCGCTGTGGTATTCCTCGGCTCTTAGTACAGAGGTACTCAGAGGACTTTCAGCAGCCAGTGAAGGACGTGGCGTCCAGTCTGGATCAGATCAGAGTTAAACAACTCCGCAAGGAGCACCGCATGGCTGTGAGTTACTTAAGCAGATTCCATTATTTGATTTAGCACATGCATGTGAGTCAAATTAGATCATAATACTCTTATTTACTTTCCGGCATTAGCACTGAGATTTAGCCCTTGTGTTTTCCTTTTCTCCACAGATTCCCTCAGGAGGTCTGACTGACATGTGTCGGAAGCCAGTGTCTCCTGTTCACGTGAGCTCTGTGTCTGATTGGCTCGTATCGATTGGAATGCCCATGTATTCTGCCCCTCTATTGGCTGCAGGCTTTGGCACGCTGGATCATGTGTCATCCTTAAACGAGGCGAAAGCGAGGGAAGCGGGCTTGAAGGAGGACCATCACATACGTATTCTTCTCAGTGAAGCCCAACTTGTCACAGCCAGCAGCTCAGGACAGTCATAATACTAACATGAGCTGTTATGAACTTGACTAAATGGATCAAATTTGGCTGGTAAAGGGACAGACCTACACAACAGCTGCCGAATTTCCTCCCACCTTTCTGTCTTATAATAGCCTTTTGGCATTTTCAGAAATGACTGATCTGGCTTCCAAGGACTGTTATTGTGGGCCTATCAACAGATGTTTCCATAGAAACATCTAGTTTTGGCCTGAAACATCTGCCTGTCGAAAGAAAGCACACTTTTTTTTCTGAGAATTTATGCTTTTGTATAAATTTGAAGACTGAAGTTTGAGATTTATTTAGAAAAAAAAAAACTAAAGGAAACGTTTTTAGTGCTTATTGAAGCACATTGAGTATCAAGAGTATGTCACCTGGCCAAAGCAATGTCATTTCATGCAGGTTTGTTAATATAATATACTTTATCTCTCAAAGCATACAGTATGTATATGAAAAGATGTGTACTCTTGGGTGAGTCATTCCCAAAAACATGATGTTGCCATATGGGGATATTCAGAGCAATGCACATTTTGATTTTAGGCCAATAGTTGGTCACGGTTTTAGCAAATATGTACTATGTTTGTAAAAAAAAAAAAAACGGTTTCATTTGTTTCTTTCTTCAAGGCATCATTTTAGCATCACTCCTTGTAATCTGCTTAATATAATACTGTATATTCACAGCACATTTAATCTTCTCAGTCTTCTAAACACACAATATTCAACACGCATCACTTACTCGGCTGTTGCGGCATATCAAAGTGTATTACTGTATCAGCTGTATCAATTTATGTTGCCTGTTATCTTGAAAATGATACTCCTGCATATCGTGTGCCTCTTATCATACTCGGCTCTGATGCTTAATAATATGCTTGCTGGAGTGAAATGTGTGCAGGTGCTCATTTTTGTTTTCTTTTCTTTTTCTTTTGTCCCAGATTGCCTTGCACTTTGACTAGGGTGTTGAAGACATTTTGAATAGTAGAAAAAGCCTTGAGCTCTTGAAAGCACACAGTCTTAGCCTTAAAATACAAGAAAATCAAATCAAAACTGATAGTGAGTGACTAACTTAGAGGAGTGTTCTGGCACTAGTTACATTTGCAGACTGGTGCTTTACCCAGGAGTTAAAAGTGTTCAAAATTGGGAAGAAGAAATATCCAATGAAGCATTATTTCTTTTTGTCATTCAGAACACAATGACAGTGTGTTTCAGGAAGAATAAGGTGTTATGGACTTAAATGTGCTTACACACATCTGGTGATTCTCTTACAGATGTGTGTAAAGGCAGACAGCATCTGGCTCCTAAATGAAACATTAGCTGACGTCTGTTACGTCACTTAGGCATTAGCATTAGGATTAGTCATCACTGCTCACAGATTTAAAGCATTACATCACTCCAAATTAAGCACAATGGAGCAAGTTTCTCCCACAATCACTCTCAGGCTGTTTTTGATTGAACAACTGAGGTGAAAACTCAACTCCTTTCAGTAGGCCTACAGTTGCTTCTGCAAATCCTTTGGTTTTCCATTTACAAAAAGACACCAGCCATGCTTCCCTAAGGCCTTGCGGTTTTAGGAAATGGTGTTTTTGAAAGCTTGCTTTAGAATTGTATTTCTCCCTCATGCCATTCACTCTTTTGTATCTAACGCAGCCCAATTTATAGGCAGTAATGCTCAAGGTTTTAATGAACGTTTTAAGCAGTAGAGAATCGATAAATTCCCTTTGTATCAGAATGGATGCCTTCAAATTGCTATCAGTTGAGTGCTTTGATAACAATGAGGCTTTTTAAGTGATTAAAATCGAAAATATATTTCATGAAATGTTACTGTAAAAATGCACTTTATTAAAGAATGAAAGTTGTTTTTTATTCCATTGTGGAGAAAATGAGATTACAAATTGACACATTTACAGTTTTTTAAAGAAGTTTGTTTTCAGGTCAGATGTTGATGGTTGAGGTGAGCTGTTTAAATATCAAATCTCTGTTACAAAAAGAATTATAATCACTTGTTAATTAATTACAGAACTAACCATGACCAGTTAATTATTTCAACTTAAATGATATAAAACTGGGTCTTAATTACATATATGAAATGATTAACTGAGGTTGCACATTCTGTATATGTAATTGATATTTAAATAACTTATTTTTGCTTTTACATCAAATGTAATTATTAGCTGTACTATACATCGTAGCAATACTCTTTCACCTATAGTTAGTTAGTGACATGCTTCAGTGACCATTGTAAAATATATGTATAAAAATGATTTTATCTGGTTTAAGTTCGCTAATGATTGTCTATAAAGGTTTTACTTGTGTATTTACAAACAAAAATGTCTTAAAAAATGTGTCCCTTTGAGGTGTAATAAAAAAAGAATATCCTACACTGACTGCTCTCCCGTACTCTGTATTTTCAGCCATTACTCCAGTCTTAAGTGTCACACGATCCTTCATAAATCATTCTAATATTCAGATCTGTTGCTCAAGAAACATAACTATCAATGTTGAAAAGAGTACAGGTTTTTATGAATATAAAGTTCAAAAGAACAGTATTATAAGACTACTAATTTCCTTCAGGAAAAAACAACAACTTTTGAACTATTTAGTGTATATTATTTATCAGCCTGTCTGAGGCCAGTGTCCTTCGGTGGAACTTTTATACAAAACACTAGCAGTTATGTCAATGACACAACCCCATTGATCTATTTTTTTTAACTTTATCTTCATAAAAATGAGAGGGGGATATACCTATAGGGACCTATAGTGCATATAGTTGATGCCTTATTGCATCAGTAACTGAAGTGACACTTAGATCATTTATTATTAAAGTACAAATAAATTATCTTGACAATAGTATCAACAGTACTGCATGCAAATAAACATCCAAATTTGAGAACAAATTAGGAGACAAACTATTCTTTCTTTTACTTTAAATCTTTGATTAAAATAATTTCAAAACCGTCAGGAAACTATATATCCAAAATGGGCAGACAATAACAAACACAGTTTGAAGCTAAAGAGGAGGCCTATTTTTGCCCTTGTTCACCTCTGATTTGGCATTCATGATTATATTTCCAGTGGGTTAAATAAAGACATAATTTCATTTGATTTAGAGTGCCTCACTGAAATAAAAGATATTGTGTTGCACTATAAATGAAACCACTGTGAGGCAGACTGCTTTTATCATTCTAACACTTACTTACATGGCTGGAAGAGTCAAATTTAGTTTTGCTTGTTCAAATTGTCAAAAACTGCTCAGTCATGAATTTGATTCTTGGCTGAATATTTAATTAAATTGTTTCTAATTTTTCTGTTGTCTTTAATGCCCTTTGCTTCAGAATAACAGTATGACATGGAAATTTTGCTCCAAATGCACAGCTGTTTTTACACACACACACACACACACACACACACACACA